GTTTGCAGCCATATTTTCAATTAACACATACGCTTCATCAAATGATTTTGACATTAATGATCCACCAACAACAACATTAATTATAAACCTAAGGGATTCTACTAACCCATTATAAAAAATTTGAATGATGATTAACCAATCAGGCAGAGCATGATGTGGGCACTTTCTTAGGAGTTCCTTAAATCTTTCCCAGGCTTTGTATATTGATTCCCCTTCATACTGACAAAATGAGATAATATCTTTTCTAAGTTTAGTAGTCCTTGAAGGTGGAAAATACTTAGTTAGGAATTTTTGAGTTAGCTCCTCCCAATTTTTAATAGAGCCAGGTGCTAATGAGTATAACCACATTTTAACCTTATCCTTTAGTGAGAAAGGAAAAAGCCTTAGTCTGACAGCATCGTCTGGCATACCCTTATAACAAAATATAGCACAAAGTTCTATAAAATTTGATAAGTGTAAATAGGAGTTCCCCCAAACTGATTATTCTGCACCAGTTGAATAATCTCATGATTTATTTCAAACGAGTCAGCTTCTATGATAGGGTTTTCTATCTTGAGTGAATTTCATCTGCCGTATGATTTACGTAATCTCTCAATGAAGTATGATGATTTTCCAAGTTATTATTTTGAAAGTTTTCCATTTCCATTTCTAGTTTTTCGAGTCCTCTTTGTATTTTTATTTTTTTCTTTTTTTTTTAAATTTGGGATCATAAGACATAAGTCCCGCAGATCCTTTGTTTTGCATATGCAACACAACAAACAATACATTAATAATTAAAAAAATAACAGATGAAATATATTCAACACAACAAAACATTTTCACGAACACCTTATTTTTCACACAAATAGTATTTTTTTCATAACATCTTTTCATATAAAAACACTTTTCACACAAAAATAATTTTTACAACACTATAGTTTTCCAAGTCTAAGCTTAATTACTTTAATTAAAATTCTCCTAAAGTTCTTACCGAAGCTTCCCGGCAATGGCGCCAAAAACTTGACAGTGACTTTATATATGCTTAAAAATACAAGAATTTGACACCACTACTAGATGATTTAAATCCCCGAAAACGGCGCCAAAAACTTGATGCAAATTTCAATATACAAGAATTTATGAACCCAAATTTATATATTTATAATGATTTTATTTTGTAAAGTCACAATTTCA